CCCCTTTAGTGTGTGTGTAATAACAGTGCTGAAATCAACCACCAAAGAAATGCTCTATTTTGTATATGTTGTCCCCAACTTTGTCCACACCCTTCAGCATGGTAAACATCCTATCAAGATTCTACAAGATTCTACATTATTCTGTATTTTCATTTCAGAAACGGATTACGATTGACATATTATGAATGCAATTTGATTTAAACTACTCTCAGATGGTACAAACTATTGCATTGACTAATCAGGAATGCTTTGGATTTGCATACACTCTATCTCGACCTAACCATAAACGTCACCACTAGTCGCCGGCACACAGGACGTTGAAATGCTCTTCACAATCATATGTCGTATAACAGGCTGTGAAACATTGGTATTACAATATAGATGAAGATCGGGTTAAGAAAAATGTTACTTTAAAACCAGAATGTTCACTGTCTCACGAAAAGACAATTTTCCTATATATCAGTTCCCATATTTTTTGTCGGTAGTTTATTACAACAATGCTCAAAAGAAATACAGCAGATTTGGTATTGCGAATTTAAGTCAAGTCCAAACATGGTACGTTAGTTATAACCAATTGAATTTGAAAATTATTTGACAGTTATGCCGTAAATGAAAATGAGCACTTTCTCGATTTCGATTAAGTCGTAATAATTTTGTAATTACATGTCGAAGACATGTATCATGAAATTTAAGAAAATGTCAAGCATTACTGGTAATTTAAGGCAAGTGTACTTAAAAACTAAGTTATATATAACGCTATAAATGTAACATGCTTTTATCCTGACTAGATAAGGGGCGGTCTGGTAGCCTAGTGGTTCGAATCCCGACATGGGAACAATGTGTGAAGCCCATTTCTGGTGTCCCCCGCCGTGATATTGCTGGAATATTGCTAAAAGCGGCGTAAAACCATACTCACTCACTCATTCACTCCTGGCTAGATGCAACAAGTATAATTACTGTAGGAAGATATTCGTATTTTTCACATAAGAAAGAAAGTAAGACAACATATTTAACTGTTTAGCGTAGAAAAACCTGTCTGCACTCAAAATTTGAAACACTAAGACCTGAGACAATACCATATTGGAAATGCATTGATTGAAGTGAATAGATGAAGGCACTTGCATCTATTTGCGTCATGTAACCGTCGTCGTTCTCTATCTATATCTCAATCTATCATTGTAGTTTATCATTTCAATATGAATTATGTGATAGGGATCGCAACAGTACTCGAAATCATTACTTCAAGCATAGATTAGCTATTCAAAAGCAACATAATTTCCTGTTTCCGGCTGAAGATCCTAGATCCATCAAATTGCCATCCCATTTCTTTATCAGCTGCGTTTGTAGAACCATGAACTAATGGTAAATGATTGATTGTCTGGTATTGGAGTATACTCTCAAAGTACACAAGTTAAAGACATAATGACAGTACTGACTGCTTCATCGTATGAAAAGTCTAAAACTAGACAGTTTCAGGTACAAGTGGGATACTTCTTTTGATTTTCATGAAATGTTTAGACAATGTTTTTATGTCAATACTGGTGCATTTCTTTGTTTCTTAAACCTTTGAGTACCATCGAGAACCATTACAACTCGCAAATAGACTTTGCACATATTCGTGAGTTTAAACATGCTTATGATACAATATGAATCATACAATGGACCCACACAGCGTCACGCGACTCTTGCTCAGACTTTGTTTCACCAAGGTTACAGCATTCGAGGCCTTAGCAAAGCTTTCAAATAGATATATCTCACGATTATGGAAAGGGTTTTTATTTGTCACTTGGGAAAACACGAACATTCGATTGCAAACCCAAATCAACATTCTGAATACAATTTTATTGAACCTACTATCAATGGAACTCAGGTCTCAGGTACTGCTGTCACAAACGCATACATGTAAGTGATGTTATTATTTATGTAAATACAAGCGACACAACTCATTCCAAATTCATAAGAGCACATTATAAGATTCGGGTAAAATCATGAGCAGGTGTTTATGAATCACAATCAAATAGTGCTGAAACCAGGTGTTCGCGAAAAGGTGAGCGTACGCCTCCCCACCGGTGGCACCCGCACTTGCCTTAGAATATATCATTTATTCGGAGAACATTTCTACACCTTATCTTGAATAGTACAGTGTGACGTTAAACAACAAGGTAATGAAACTATCAGAAAAATATAATGGGATCACCTTCTTATGATTTAGTTTTAATAAATTTTATTCACGCAAGTGAAATTGATTTGATTTCGGGACAAGTTCTTACAGCTTAGAACATCACTCTCCATAGGTGTCTACGCTATACAATTGCATGAAACATACAAGGAAACAGACTGAAAAAGGTGGGCGAAAGTCCAAGGACGATATGTACGATCAACAATATCGTGAATAGACGTGAACACCTATTTTCTTTGTTTATTGAAACACAAACATTCAAGTATATAATGGTACGAATTTTCGCAAGTATTTTCACATAACGGGTCGGTTTTAAAATTTATTCAGTTTAGATCATAACTTAGTCATCCTTCTTGTGATGTTCTTGGTATTTTCTTGTTTTTACACAATTTGACATGCAAGCGTTATTTCTTCATTGAAGTGTATAGTTCACAATAATAAAGTCTCAGCAAAAATATTTAGAATACTCAAATGACGATCGATTTACAAGCACCCAAACTATAACAGGGCAAAAGAAAGGTTTTTGGTGCCCTGCTATGTTTACTGATCGCTGCATACATGTTGTTATTCTGTGGGATTTACTCTAAGTTAAAACCAGTGTGCATGCTGTACTCTCGGATGCGTGTAACATCGTTTATTACGTGTTAAATTGTTTGTAACGGTACCTTAGGAAGTTTATTGTTTAGATGTTTGAAATGTGCAGAGTAAGTATTTTGAATGCTTCCGTTTCCGCCTCTTATGGCGCGAATAACCTGACAATGCGATGCGATGAGAACGATGCCAGTTGTACGCTTGCAACAATCGAGATATCTATTTGTTTTTACGAAACTACCTGTATTGTTCCTGTAATAAAATTCATAGCCACAGAAGAAGGACATGCGATTACCACGCCCCACATCAACTGCTCGATACAGGATGTTTGCGACCGTTGCGTGCGACCTTCCGACAAACAACAGGGCTTGAATTGTTTGCGAAACTGACGATTGTGATGATTCAATATTCCGTGACCTAAGGATCAACGATGAGTGATAAAAGATCTTTGGTCTGGTCTGGTCTGACAAATAGGCCACGTTCTTCACGGATTAACACTGCAGCCGAATTAGCCGCTCTGAAATTAAAACAAAACTATGTCGAGGGGGCGACTGGGCGTGCCGAATTGGAATTACTTGATACAAGATAACAGATAGCCACGGCACAAGCTAAACATGATGTATTCGATCAGTTAAAAGGGCTGGAGAGGCCTTCTTTCACAACGATGAGCCAATGTAGATTCTTACGCCGTTATCAAGCTAGAGTGACTACAACAAAAAGAAAAGAGGTACAAGTATATATGCAAGATACGTTGTGATAAGCAGCAGAGTAACATTAACAACAGGTAGAAGATAACTAGTAACACGCAGGTAATTGGCTGAGGCCAGATTTACTGTAAGAATATGCCACTCTTCACTTGGTTGTAGTGACTCAAGCTTGATAACGTTGTAAGAATCTACATCGAAACATCGCTATATGCAATAAATCAAAAAGATTGATCCTTCGGGTTGACAACCAAATAAAAACCAGAAAACGGATTAAACATGTCTGCAAACAGAGATTTAAAAACGGAAATTCTGTCACATAATTTATTAAAAAAATACAAACATGTGAAAATTTTCCATAAGTAACGATATTATTGTGAATCTGAAATCAAAATCAATTTGCTCAGAGGGTTTGTATTTCAAGAGTACACTTTTCCATACTAAAGTCCAACTGATATGAAGAGTAAACTTATCCCAGAAGGAAAGGGTTGTTGGTTCACAAAATAATTCCTTTACGAATAAAGAAAATAACTAAATATCAATGTACGTTTTTTAGATGAATACTTACATAATCTGATGAAATAAAAGCACTCCTACATTGTCCATAGTCACGATTTATCGTTTTACTTTACAAAATTGGTAACCAGTCATTTGGTAGAGACTGAATGATAATACAATATGCAGTCGTTATCGCTGATACAGAGATATCATGTCGGTTGTCGTTTAGTATCTCTATTATAGCTGAAAGTGACTGGAAACCAGAGATAAACTCATCACAAATATCTGAATCAGTAACAATACCCGAATCAATAAAAAAAATCCAAATAGCGATATTTTTCCTTGACAGCGAATGTGTGGATTAGAAACAATTGTTGACACATGGCATCCCGTGCTCAGTGACAAGCCGTCGCCTGCCGCGCGTGATCTCGTCCCATGCAATCAGAACATCAGCATAGAACGGCTTCATACGGGTCAAACCAGGACGACTGTAATTATAAGCGACAAAACCCTTTCCATGTTCATAAGAAATGCCGAGTGTACGATTCCGACCATATCATGATCACGTGGTTATGAACCAGGTGTTCGCAAACAGGTGATCGTATCCTTCCCGTCACAATCTCATGACACAGTCGGAATCGCACAATTGACTGCTTTTCTTGTGGCCATGAAAAGGGTTTTGTCGCTGTTATTTACAACATCGACTAGTTTAAATTGATTGGACAAGGATTGCACGTCTCTGATTGAACATGCACCAATATAACCTTGGGATTGGGAACGATGCAGAAGTTCTCAATACTGCGCCAAACACTGAAGCTACCCCTATTATAGCCTAAGGCCGGGAATACTAATTGCAACTGTGGTCGATATATAACATGATTAAAACACGTCTCACAGAAAAGAGAGCGATTGACCAAGTGTTTGTTATTCTCCGCGGAAACTCGCCCACAGAAAGCTCATTGGCAATACTTGTACCTGTACTAGTTCTATTTGTTAACATTACTATTTAAGTTCCAGACATTTCTCGACGGGAGACGCAGCATACAAGTGTGTATTAAAACAGTGGATTTGACCAATCCTTGATGTGAATATGAAGATGAGATTCAGCATCAACATTGTTACAGGTAAATACATGTGAACATAGAGTACATGATAATGTCATCCTTTGCCACTGTGGATATGGAGATCTTCAACCTGGCTTTGTCCATACGCAAATTCCGTAGCCATGGCAGAACACTAAGACCATTCGAGATATTTTCATGAAACGTTTCATGTTTAGAAGAAAAGAATAAAGTTTTAAATTTTGACTATTTAATATGTTTCGGTATTCCAGCCTACAATACATTGCTTTAACGACAGAAGTGAGTGAGTTAAAAGTTTACGTCACACTGGCAATATTTCAGCCATATTGTGATGAGAAGTTATACATTAATAATAAATAAATTTACAATAACTAGATTCTTACGGATTGTGTTTAAAAGTAGTATAGGACCAATAACATGTTATAGTGAATGAGTGAATTGGTTTTATCGCCGCTTTTACTTAACATGTTATAACTCTTATTAGACAGTATAACATAAAACCGGGCTGTAGATCGCCAGCAACAAAAGGTAGATCACAATACTAGGGACATTCGGGACTTACGGTACCTCAGCAGGATTTACACCTTTCCTCTAGCTGCTGGCGATTGTTTGCAATCTAGGCCAACAAACAAAGTACATGCATGCTGATATGAAACAAATTTGCAATGTCTAAGTATAATTTGTAACATCTATGGTATCTCTGTTTTGTTACCACCAGATTTTAAGACTTCTGTGTACTCAGCATAAGGTTGCATGTTCTCGATGTTCGGTTACACTTGAGTAATTTACAGCTATTGGCAAATGGGACACTGTGACGAAGTTCAGTTAAGTCCGATAATTTCTAGGATATCAATTCTTGTATAAATGTAATTATTTTGTGCAAGGTGTGAGTGAGTTTAACGCCGCTTTTAACAGTATTCCAGTTATATCAAGGCGTGTCAGCTTCATGTGGGAGAAAAGCCCGAAGTGATGCAGGGGATTCATGTGTTAAATAGTAGACTCCATGATGATATACATGGCCAGTTTCCTTACTTCACATTTTATGGCCAGTGTTGCGTGAACAGAAAATACTTGCTAGCGGGCTGCTCAGCCAAACGAGTTGGGAGTTACCTATTTTGATCTGTACTCACGATGACCGCCATTTAGTAAACACTGTGTGTGAAACTGCTCGCTTTGTTTCCCTTATACATACTCACCAAAACAATTAGGGGCTCGTGAAATATATATTATAATACCAAGTATTGTGCAAGAAGGTTTATATTCTGTAAAACGTAAGAGCAGAATACATCCTATAGTTTTCACGTGCCTCATGCAGTAGCGCCCCACACGTACGACGGGTGTCATTCCTGACTTTGACATTAATCTATGTGGACTATTATTTCTATCAATCGTATTGATTCTGCTTATCATACAGGTGTGATTTACTTTATCTAATTCATTATATTGTGCATGAATTAGCAATGCGGCGTCTACAACGCGATGGGCGTCGACGGGTGATCCTGAAATCTGGCAGGAGTCAGCGTGCAGTGGCCAATACGTTTACTGTTTCACAGTCTGTGATTAGCAGGCTATGGAACAGGTACGAACAAACCAAGCATGTTGACGATCCACTCCATTCAGAGTACAAGAGTACAGGGTCGACTGACCCGAAATTGCGAGCTTAAATGGCGAAACAGTTTGCTGTATTATGCTACCGGAGAACGAGTTACGGGTCAGATGATTAGGACTCGTCTACATGCAGCTCATCTCTATGCTCTAAGGATACGTGTTGTGCCGCCCAATACAAATCGTCATGTTGCCAACAGACGTTAATGGTGTGCACAACATCGAAACGTGGGTAATCGTCACTGGACACGATAGTCGCTGGTTTTCAGGTGAGTCCTGATTCACATTGGACTTTATTGTCTGGCGACGTCGAAAAAAAGGTGACGCCAACAGATTTGGCGGTAAATAGGTTATAAGTTGGGTGGCATCACAATGACTGAGAGAAGACCATTCCATATTGTGCAAGGAATTGTCACTGGACAGTACTATCGGGACAACATACTGACATCGTTTGGAAGGCGTGTGGATCGACGTTTTGTCTTTCAGGACGACAAGGCACGTGCTCACCGTGCATGAATCGTCAGTGGCCACCTACAACAACACAACATCAATACAATGCCATGACCAGCGATGAACCCAGACCTTTCCCTCGTTGAACACGTCTGGTACATTACAGAGAGACGTGTGTCAACGTCATAGGCTACCGACCACGTTGGCTGAATTTGGCCAGGCGCTACAAGAGGAGTAGGTCAGACTCCCCTAAGTCGCCATTGGGAGACTCACACTCATGCCCCGCCGAGTGAATGAATGTTTGACAAATCGTGGCGGTATAAAGCACTAGCGATCCAAAATCGTCAGTTTTGAAATTTCCCATTTAAACCCAATCGTCTTTCAAGATCGTTGGCGGTCATAACATCTACTGTTATACTTCACTACCGGTTGTAATGTGTTCCCAATTCGTTCATTTATATCTTACAATTATTTCTAGAGACTAATATATCCTACACGTCTTGACATGTTAAGTCATTTGCGAGAATCCCCTATTTTAAGAGTATATGTTTTGTGCAAAACAGGTAACACCTGGAGACTGCCTCCGTGGTCTAATGGTAGAGCGTCCCCCCGGAGAGCGGAAGGTCCGGGGTTCTATCCCAAGGCGCGTCATACCAAAAGACGTTAAAAGATGGTACTTGTTGGTACCCTGTCTGGCGCTCGGCATTAAGGGGCTAAAACAAGGACTGGTCGGCTCGGAGTCAGTATACTGTGTCTGAGTGGGGTATTCATGTTAAACTGCGGCATGGTATCTCAGTGTGCTAGCACTATAAATCGGCATCAGACCGGACTAGTACAAGCAGCCACACACACACACACATACACGTGCATGCACGTCGCTATATAAATGCAATAATCTTGGACGCGACGTTAAACACCATTTCACCTCACCACCGTAACAGCTGGAGTATGGTTCACTTTATGACCGCTTAAACAGCTCTGTTTCCTTCGATCACACGGTTTCTTGTGTCTTTCCGGCTGAATCCAACCATTTACCAGTATATTATCAATATATCAAGGGTGTTCACATACATGCATGATAATATTATTAGAGAAGATCGGAATAAATGGGCCAAGCATAACTTGGATTATAGTGAATCACAGACTTGAATTGATAAATTACAGTTAAAACCTTAGTGAAAGATTATGGGAATCGGGAAAGAGTATGAATTAATAGAAACCAGGGAACTTTATTCATCATACACATACGGATTATGCGTATTATTATCTACAAATATCCCCTGAGAGTTATTGAACTGCATCGGCCGTGGTGTGAGGGTGACCGTCAGGAATTAAAATGTAAGGCCTATAAAACCTTCATAGAAACCTAGACACATGTTTTAAGCTGTCAGAAAACTACAATCATTATTTACGTTTACTTTTACATTGCACCTAGTCTAAATCTTTGATTAAACTTGCCGTCTGTAGGTATTAGGTAATATCAGTAAGACAAAGCATAACTAATCAAAGCGGGCTATCTGAAAGAATCTAAACAGCAAATCACTCACATATGATACTAGGAGTTGGGTTTTTTGCATAGTACATTTGTTTTCATGACTTTTTGAAGTTTTAGTTTTGATCAGATACTCTCATTTTGACGTATGATCTCACATGCCAAATAAACCTTTTTCGCCATTCAACAGTAGTTTGGATTGTATGGTTAGGCCAATTCTCAAATATGGGGAGTGAAATGTTGTAAAGAAATTGTGAACGCGTGTTCGGAATGCCCCATAACTCTTTAAATTGTATGGTTCTTGGCGGCTGAAGAAGACTCGCACTACAGTACCTATGGACCAGCGCTGTTACTTATTGGGGTAAAATTATAAATTTACACAATTGTCTACCATATCAGTGTAACCAAATATTAAGATTTGTTCATGGAAATGGGCGTGTGAATATTGGGCAACAAATATCAAAAACAGACTCTTTTGGTTTTGGATTTGCGTGGATATCCCAAGACGTCGGAAATGTGAAACTGTTTCTAAAATGTTTATCTTTACTTATATGCAGTAAAATCTCTGCTCAATAACAGCGACAAACCCCTCTCCATAGCCAAGAAGGCAGAGTCCACTGTACTATCCTTACCATATCATGCGCATGTGTTTATGAATCTCTATCACATAGCTATAGTGATGATACCAGGTGTTCGCGAACAGTTGAGTGCATCCTGCCCCACCGGTGGCACCCGTCATAAACACATGCAAAGGTATGTCAATTGTTCACCCGGAGAAGCGCTGGAACATATGGTACAAGTCAACATGAGGAATTACATCGGACATCATTTTTGACATTGATGCGTCAAATTTGTAAATGTCCTCCACATGTGTACAAGTAATTGTTTCAAAGGTTTACTAAGACCTAGAAAGCTGTCATTCTGGTCACAACATTTTAGCAAGAGTCGCATGACGCACACTGTGTTCATTATACAATTGCCACTTAACTGAGACACAAAAGAAAGTACATACAATTCGTAATATTATTAAATCGTTAATGCTAATAAAGTGATTAAATGGTGTTACTGAAGGGATTAATTATATTAATATAATAACGATTAAAGTAGTACACCAAAGAAATCAGACATATGTAACACACGTCGTGTCACACGTGTTACAAAACAGATGCCCATGATAAACAGGGCATTTTTCATTTCTTCTCTGAACATTTGAGATATATTTAGCTAATGATAGTTCAGTAAGATACCTTATCAGAACAGTACTCTTCATGTGTACGAACAATTGGGTATGACATTTATAAAATCCAACATCATGAGCAGTATGTCGGGCGTGACCTTCGTTTATGTTTTGTCTTTAAATAGTATGCCATGGTGATGATTTGTCTCATGAATCTTGCATCCAACTAGGCTTATCTCAGCAATAGGTACCTTGGTCGCAAGGAAATTCGCCCAAACCTATCGAAAAAGATTTCAGATAACCTAAATTTGTTTCACAGGATTCTACTTACTAGTCTGTGGTTCCTCCATCAACATCAACGTCATTACAACCGGAAACCGTACCATGTACAACACACATGACTACGGCGTTGACGTCAAGAAAATCTCATCGATTCTCTTCCGGGTCAAGGGGTGCATGGATGGGAGGATAAATCTCTTTGACGGTCCTGACTTTTCCACTGCTAAGTCCGCCATTGTTTTGCTTGGTGGATGGGACAATAGAAAATGTTTGATGGCACCGTGCAGTGGCTGCTCAACAACATATTCACCATGGTACCCGTTCTTGGACTGCAATGAGATGAGACCAATGTGGATCAATTGGACCGGTAGATTGCTTAGCGTCGGTCACGGGGAATATGTTGGAGAACAGATGTTCATCTTTACCGACGAGCAAAGGGACTTTGATGTCCAATATTTGGCCGTCGGATCCAGTTATAATCACGTATTTGACTGGGAATTTGGTAAGTAGATAGAAATAACATCTCTGGGACATAGATGTGTACTGAAAGATAGTTGTGTTGAAGATATTTCCATCAGTAAAGAGTTGGATTTTTTAGTCTTCAGTTGAGTCCTAAGATTTGTATTGAGTACTGAAGCGAGTCACTGTCATGAATTATGCACAAGTAAACGTGTTGCAGTTTTCTTCTTAGGTTGAAATGGCCAGAAATATTTCAAGTTATTTTGCGATTATTTCTTGATGTCAGCAATGATTACAGCCGAGAATTTTTTTTGCATTTTTTTAAAATCGAACAAACTATATATTTTATGAACAATAGTGTATTATTATGTTTCAGAATATATCTTGAAACCTCAACACGGGCATATCAATATTATGGTTCTCAGCAGAGTTAACGGTCCAACATTTGTGTGACTTCAAACTGATGTTGCAAACTATACTTAATAAAACTTAATAACATTTTTTTTAAATTAAATTTATGTTAACATTGGTATGCTTTGTTTAGATGACAAACCTGGGAACTTCTTTGAGCGGGTGGTGCCTAATGGTTGGAGTACACGCCAAATGCTGTCTTCACTGACGTCCAACTCTAGGTTTAAGTGCATCAAGAGTTGTCAAGGCAGGATCAGTTGCAGATCAATCAGCTACCAGAGCACGACCAACATCTGCCAGTTATATTTTGAACGATCACGATCCGTTGACATCGACCCTGACAACACTTGGGAAACATGGATAGAGATAAATGTGTAAAATATACTCCTTGTGTCTGTATTGGGCATTTTGACCGAAACCCATGCACCAGCCGTCCATTCGAGGAAGAATCGAAATTAAGATTATCACAGCCACCTGCTATCAAACGGTCCCGAGTATGACTCTGAAAAGTTGTTCAGACACACATCATTCGACTACAATGCTATAATGACGTTGAATTCTCTGTCCTGTGACATACACTTAACAAGAACACTCACCTCTATTAAATCACTGCTAATGACCTTCTTGTTCCAACGGGGTGGTCGGGTAGCCTAGTGGTTAAAGCGTTCGCTTGTCACGCCGAACACCCGGGTTCGATTCCCGACATGGGTACAATGTGTGAAGCCCATTTCTGGTGTCCGCCGTCGTTATATTGCTGGAATATTGCTAAAAGCGGCGTAAAACCATACTCACTCTTGTTCCAAAACCACTACCTACGTAGGTTTATGTTGCGCTTTGGGCAAACACCACGTGACAGAAGTGTAGTGTCATGCAAATATGTTTAGTCACGTGAACTGCGCAAGAATGACAATGGTCAATATTCGTATCAGGTGAATGAAACGATGAAATGCCTTCACCCATTTTGCAAAATTCAAGGCTGTAATTTACATTTTTCACAAGTGTTGTGTTGTTATATTTTGTGAGATATTCACCAATTACTTGTCTTGTTTGAGATTCCCCCTCTATTACCTATTGTCTTACCCATCACCACGCTCGGGTTAATTTGTACGGAAATAGCGTAAAAAAAGGAATCCCCTTACTGACGGAACTTTCAGTTTGGGGGACGATTTTGCGTGTCCACTTTTTACGCTATTTCCGATTTTAAATTTCGTATTGGTCACGCATTTGTGATTAAGATTCCCTTAAAGTATTAAAATCTGCAAAGTTTCTATGTTGACTTTACTCCATGGATGTCATTTGAAGTTGATATTTATCCCCCCTTAGTAAACCTACACACTTCTAGTTCTTTGGTCGTGATATTTATACTTTTTATACACTTCTTTTGTTTTTTTACTTGATATTTAGTCCCTTAATATCTGCACACATGTTGTTATTTAACTTGATATTTATTCCTGTAAGACCTACACACTAGTTGCTATTGCTATATGATATTTATTACGTTAATACCTAAACATCTTTAGTTATTTGAACTTGATATGTATTCCTTTAATATCTGCATGTATGTTGGTATATAACTTGATATATATTCCTTCATACAAACACACAAAATGTTACTGTTGTAACTGAAAAGTACTGAAAATAATGGATTAAAATAACCAACGAGGTACGAGGTATGTCAAGAGTGAAATTGGTGTTTCACATAAAGTTGAAGATACAATTCTGAACTCGCAATACATTTCTGTAAGACGGCTTACTTGTCTCTCGCTAAGATCTGACGTCACCTACTTAATTGTCATATGACGCCATTACAATCGTTTTTAACTGACCAATAAGTAGTTATCATCTCCATATCACGTCACTGAGGTCAGATGAAGCCGGATATCACTTGGGTACAAAGCGTTTGAAACATTGTCATCCTTTACAGTACATTTATCTAGTAAATATGTAGACAGGTCATAGTTGTACAAATCTGAACAAGTAACTTCAGTAAAAAGTGCACCCCAACCGTTTTGGAAACCTCAAAAAGATAAATAGTAACTTATTGTCACTATGTCTGGGACAAGGGATTCATTCTTGAAACATAAAAGGCTTAAAATCTAGACTAGTTAGCTACATAACATTATTTCATCGCATAGGGACGTTTTGTGCTGAAATAGCATGTGCATTTCAGGTCCTTTGACAACATGTTCAAATTCCATTCGTAACAATATTGATCCTGGCACCTCATTTTTGTATTTACATTATATGAAATAAATACATCTTCATTTTGAAAATTCTTCTTAAAATGAGTGTTAAAACTTTATGAAGCTTTATTGAAATTCCTTGTTCATTTTGCGATCCATTTTTTTATAGTGATGGCCCCCCTCAGCTACCATAGTTTCTTGGAGATTCATCAAAAGTAGACAACCTCCCTGGATCAAAACCAAAATGTGCAATCGGCTGCAACCTCTGATGCGCACATAAAATAACTATATCTCCGCCCGTGTACACATGGACTTTAAACAGGGCCTATCACCGGTGTCAGAGCGTGGAGGAGACGCAGTATGGGACTGGAACAGATCAAAACGACCACACGTGAATATGGTCACAGACACCCTAGTCAAAATGGTCATACTAAACAGTCAAAATGGCCACACGACTTTTGGTTTGTGGCCAGTTTTGTTAAAAACAAGTCATGTTTGGTCTAATGGTTTTTAAAATGCATGATATGTTGTAAGTTCAGTTTTATTTAGACCCCGAAGTGTATGACATTTGTTTTAAAGTTTTCGGCAAAAAAATGAGAGGGAGACAGTGCTAACAAACGAAATGCGGTTAGAGCTAGTTCCAGCCTGAATACTACTGCGCTCATTTACTGAGTAAAGACATTGTTTATCAAATTCAGTAAGGGAGGTAATCTTGATTTTGACACCAGCTGAACGTCATGAAATGGCCCTGAGCTATTAGTATTGGTATGATCATGATCAACAGTCACAAGTAAGCCTTAATCTCATACTTTTATATTGCAGCCATATCGCGATGAGAACAAGTCAGTTATTATCAAATACAGCAGCGAGGTAAATATGACAGTTCAGATATACAACAAACCTGGTCAAAATTAACACAAATAATTGTTCAGCAGATTAAAATGTAAATTAAGATGTAAATTAAACCAGGCTATGGGCCACCATACTGGGGATCATGGGGACTTACAGTGCTTTTGCTGCCTGCACGATTCCCAGCAGGATTTATGCCATCACTTTGGTCACGAGTGGTTGTATGTTTTGCTAACCAATATATAAATATCAAACAAGGAATAAAAACACTAGTTGATATTATACACTTCAATATAGATGGTCTCATGTCCTGCTGCCATTGTGATAATTTTACACTACTTGCACTATACTGAGTGGCACCGCCTTCATTAATCTCAGCTGATGATAATATCACACTTTTCTAAAACAATTCTAACTGTATCAAATAATTCTATTTCATAAAAACGAGAATTAAATGAGCATAATATTATTGAAAAGACCCTTTAAGATGTGGAATCATAATTATTATCCCTTGTGAGAGAAAAATCAACATATTCAAGCAAAACATGCTTGACTGTGATTCTCTCATCACAAGAACGTAGTATCCTCACCTTTCAATAAATATGCATGGGTATAACGACTGTGGCCACTGCGACAACGTCGCAAAACAACTTCGTCATGTCTGGACTGGCAACAAAGAAGATATAACCTAATTTGGGGTTAAATACATGACGTTTTTTGTACCTACTTGTGTGTCCCATCTTTCCTGCATCAAACTACTAACACGTTCCTTGATGCATTGTTTATATACACTATAGGGAATTGGAAGATGAGAGGCTGATTTATCAAGAGCTGCAAAAACTGTAGCATCAACGCGTGTGCTACCAGCAATACTACCTGAATAGGTATGCAACAAAAGACGATGTTGTATGGCAAACGGCAAGAGTTTTGTATGATTGTAAAATATCACGAATTGGTGGATGGTTCATGTATACAATCTTAAGTGCCCATAGGCATGATAAGGAATCAGAGAAAATAATAAGTGCTTAAATGTATTTTGTTTCTGAATATATTCAAAGGTTATATGAATAGCTTCAGAAGTAATTATTGAGCTATTGACTCGTAATATGGAAGAAATAATGTTTGATCCAATGATTCTGCCACAGTAAGATGGAACGGTAAAAATCGTATTTGATTAGACATATTCTTGCTGAAAGATTAACCGCTTTGGTGCATCCTTTAAAAGATAAGTACGTTTGAGGTCTACTTCTGGTATGACTAACTGCCAAGGAGGTGTAGATAATTATTTGCAGCTGTTATATGTGGTTTTATTCTTATCCCCAGAGGTGGAACCAGTTTAAATTTATAATAATTCCTCGTAGTGGAAGACAGAGCCTCAAGCCTTGATGATGTTTGAAATTGAGTTTCTGAAAGTTACTTTTACACGCTCCACCATATATGATGGACCCGTTATCTATTTTGATCGGATCAGCGACCTGTACAAATGGAGAAGGGTTATTTGATACCTGCCTGATGTAGTGCTTTTAGGCACTTGCCTTGAGATGTTTTATATGTGCCAAGAATGTCAGGCGAGGCTCGAGAATAAGCTCCAAGAACTTGGCCTCCTCAACTAATGTGATTGGTGTGCTAGGTATAAATAGTTCTGGGACACTGTGTTGCTATATTTTCTGCAGACATGTTTGTAAATAGTTGTGCTTTTAGGAAATTACAAGCCATTAACTAGCGGCAATTTTTGGATTTTACTTTGACACAATTGTAGTTGTCTCTCAATAGTGTGCATGTGTTTACCGTGACAGAAATGTTAAACTCGTCCTCAAATAGCGATCCATCAACTGAATCATTTTAATTTTTTGACAGACTGTTTATATTGATTCTAAATAACGTCACAGACAAACTACTGCCTTGTGGAACACCCTGATCCTTATTATAATCATCAGACATGGTGGAACCAACTCGGACTTGAAATCGTTTGTCCTTTAAAACCTGTAATATAAAATGAGGTGAAAATGAGGCCTCTCAAACAAATAGTATGTAAATCCTTTAAAATGTCAAGCTTCCTGGTGGTATCGTAGGCTTTCTCAAGATCGAAAACAACTGATACTGCGTGTTGTCTTTACAATAGCATTTGAACAAAACATTCTAGACGTACAAATTGGTCGATAATACTTCGATGTTTGCGGAAACATATTGAATATTTGTAATTAGACATTCCAAACTAATCTGTTATTTACCATTCATTCCATGGTATTGCAAACGCAGCTGATAAAAGGTATAGGTCGATAATGAGAGCGATCAGCATGATCGCGTCCAGGCTTTGGTATTGGATCTACAATGGCATTATGCAACAAAGGAGGAAATTTCGATGAAGTCCATTTATCAAATGTATCTAAAAGTGTCTGGAGATCTGATTCAGGCAATTCTATAAGAACTGGTAGTGTAAAGCATTAGTTCCCGTTGCCGTATCGTGAGGGTGCCCAAGGGCGGTATGTAGCTTATGTAATGAAATTACTTCATTGTAATCGTCACCGTTATCAGAAGCTAAATTAACTTTTTTGCTTCTTCTGTTGTTTCTGATATTTCATGAAATCAGGGACTCAGGGACATAACTTGACGGTGAAGAATTCATTATAGCTTTCACCATTATTAGAAATAAAAGAAATAATTTTCTTCTCCCGTTCTGTTTGATATGTTTAAAACTCCGGGACATAATTAGGCGATGAAGAGTGTTGTCCTAACGTTTCTCCAAGTGTAATGGCAATATCAGTTTTATCAGTTAATAACTTGTCACCATAAGATGTTGAATAGACGATTTTGAATCTTTGCCTTTTATTTCTTGTATCATATTTTGCACCTTGGACATAGGTGTGCGGAATGTTTTGGGGGAAGACGTAGTTCCTCCAAGATTGACGGGGCGGTCGGGTAGCCTAGTGGTTAAAGCGTTCGCTCGTCACGCCGAAGACCCGGGTTCGATTCCCGACATGGGTACAATGTGTGAAGCCCATTTCTGGTGTCCCCCGCCGTGATATTGCTGGAATATTGCTAAAAGCGGCGTAAAACCATACTCACTCACTCACTCACTCCAAGATTGACGCTAATTTTATTTAAAAGCACGTTGTACTTTGTAGTTTCAAAGTGTAACCCTTTCTAAATTATGAACTGTAGGATTTCGGGAGAAATATTTTTCGTTTTTTTCCTTCATTTCATTGCCTGTTTGTATTCATTGTTTAGCCATGGTTTACCAATATGTGGATTTGCAGATGCATTGATATTTGTTTCGTCAGCAATTTCATTCAGCAGGTCCGAAAATAACTGTGTCGGATCTGGAACATGTCTAAAGATGTCAGGTTTTAATTTTCCAGTACATAATAATTCATAAAAAGACCAATCAGCCTTTGTAAAATTCAACCTTGTTGATGGTGGATCATCATTAGGTTTAATAGTTTTAAGCATTGTAGGGAAGTGATCACTTCAACAGAGGTCATCATTTACTGACTATTCAAATTCGTTGAAAAGGATCTTAAGGGACAGACCAATAGCTGAATAAGTTACAGTGGCAGGATTTAAATCATTTTCTGACTCGTCATTAAATATATTATTGTCAGAATCTTCCCTTATTGCCTGCATTCGCACTTCCACACAGAGGGTTGGACCCATTTAGATCCGCCTTGATGATGCAGGCCTTTTGCTGCTGATCATAGAGATTCTGAACTTCAGACTGTCGAAGAGCAGATGAATGAGGAATATACAAGGAGCATAAAATAAATGTAATGTGCAAACTAATCTTGAAGATTTGTATTCAGAGGAACTGCTCTATGAATGACGTCATGTCTGACCAACATAGTAGAACCTTCGGTAGCTTTATCACCTGACAATTGTCCTTCCGTAAGTTAAAGTTACATATACCTGTATGCCTACTTTAAGACACGTTTATTGGATACATTTTACTGACGGTTGATAATCCTGTATTAACAATTGCATTTCATCAAAAGTTTTATTTCTCAGTCCTCTTCAATGGCTTTAAGAAACCAATGTCAATCAAATCGCTGTCCACTTGCGACAGTCCACCGGAGTTCAAGTTACTGACCAGTCTGTTAGAAATTTAACAAATCGGCTCATTCCAGACAGATGCCAATGGTGCTTAGAGCGTAGAAACTGGGGGAATCGCCGATGGTCTC